GGTCGTGGTGGTGGTGGTCGGGGGGGGGACTTTACGTACGCGCTCTCTACTCGTCTATGAAGCTGTGATTCTGTAGTAAGACACGTGATTAGAGACGACGTCGATTACGGTGAAGTCGACGTGACAGAGAAACGCTCGGCGTGCACTCGGTTACGGGCCTAGTGCGAGAGACGAGAGAGAGGGTGGGTGGGGAGGGAGAGACGGGCGAGTGAGAGAGAAAAGAAATAGAGAAAGTGGTGTGTGATGTGTGGTGTGTGTGTGTGTGTGTGTGTGCTGTGCGTGTTGTATATCTTGTGTGATGTGTGTGTGTGCGTGGCGTGGCGTGCGTGTGATGTGGTGCGTGGTGTGTGTGCGTGTGTGGCGTGTGTGTTGTGCCTGTGTGTGTGTGTGTGTGTCGTTGTCGTGCTGCTGTGTTGTGATGTTGTGTGTGTAACCCCGTGTGTGTTGTGCATGGTGTGTGTGTGTTGTGTGTCGTGTGTGTGTGAGGGAGCGGTGGTGCATTGTGTGTGTGTGTGTGTCGTGGTATGTCAGAGGGGAAGAGTGAGAGGGGAAGAGAGGGAAACCGGGATGGGGAGAGAGCACGGTTCACACGTGTGCAAGCATATCAGATGAAGCCCCTTTTCTCTATCAATCTTGCCTCATCGCTGGGCTGGCTTTTTTTCGCCCACGCGCACTCGGCAGCACAACCTGGCCCTACCATAAAAACGAAAACCCTCTTGGTGTATTAGTGGTCATAAAATCGCGTGTTTAGCGTCGGTGGCAAAAGCATAGCGCGGCTGCCTTCTAGTAATAATATACCCAGAATAATATTTCACGTGTCTTCGGTGTGTGCGTATGCGTGTGCGTGTGTGGCCCGCGAGTGTGTATGTGTGTGTGCGTGCGTGCGTGCGACTGCGTGCGTGCGTAGCTCTTGTGCGCTTGCGCATGCTGTGTGCGCGCACGGCGTGTGTCGCGTGCGTGCGTCGTGACGTCCTCTTTGTGTGCTGTGCGCCGAATCCGGGGGCCATCGTGTGCTGTGGTGTGTGTGTGGTCCGCGGCTGTGTGTGTGTGCTGTGCTGTCTGTGTGAGTGCCGCCTTGCTCTGTGCTCGTGTGCACGCCGCTCGCGCGCGGGGAGCGTGTTTGCCTGGTGCCATACGTGAGGTGTGGTATGTGTTTGCTGCGGTGTCGCCACAGACGCGTGCGTGCGTGCGCCCACAGACGTGCGTGCGTGCGCGTGCATTTTCATGAGATATTATCGGTACGAGAGTAAAGCAGAGTTGAGACACAGCTTTCCACTCTCGTAGCCATCATTACGAAGCAGTGCGCGCCAGCCCCTGTGCGCCAGCCACCAGCAGAATATGCCACCTATATGACTTCATCCCCCACGCTACGCTGCATACATACATACATACGTAGATTTATACAAGTCCAGCCGATGAGTTCGCGGTTTGTTGAGCGGCGTTTCACTGTTCATCGCCGCTGGCACTTCGCATTACGACAACACAGCTGATGTAAACACATTATCAGCCACATTCCAGTACACAGCATCGTCCCTACGGCAATATTGGCGATAATCATGATTTCAGCTGTCATGGAGAGTGTGCCTGTGTGCCTACCGTGGTTTACACATCGGCGCGTGATGACCTCTACTCACCCCTCCTACCATCTCCTCGCTATCTTACTACCATCACCACCATGCAGTGACCGTGTTTTCATGTGAATGCATACATTGCCACAAATCGACACACGTCTCTTTGTTCCGTTCTCTTTCTCTGCCATTCTCTTCGTTTTTCTATCGCTGTTTTGTTGGTTTCTTTCCCGTCTTTCTATTCCATTACTTCCTGTCCTTCTATATTCATTTCTCTCTACCGTCCATCTATTGGCTTTTCTTCTTTATTACATTAGTTTACATGGCTTGGCTGCTTTATTCATTTCTTTCCTGTCTCTCTATTACATTCCCGCCTGTCCTTCTTTTCAGTTCCCTCCCGTGCCTCTATTCCTTTCTATCCCTCCGTACCTCTACTATTCATGTAGAAGCTGTTAAGCACGCACGTGCGTCTATGAGGAAACCGTTAGGTCGCGGTGTTATTAGAAAATTCTTTGACAGCTAGGGAAGTCTAAGCGAACCGCTAATCATCCGTCCCATTGAAACTAGAATAACAGACGACGTGACAATAACGTGCTAACATCGCAGCGGTGCTTGATGCAGCTATGCAGCCACTACGACAGTGAGAGTGACGGCGATGGCAAAGGAGATGACGATTGTGATGCTAATGGCGTTGGCGATGGTGATGGTGATGGTGATGGTGATGGAACGCTGTCGACAGTCTATTTCTAGTTGGTTGCCGACTCCTCTCCCAGCATCTCGACCATAGTCGTCGTCTGCTTGCAGCAGCAGTGGCAGCAGCAGCGGCGCAGCAGCAGAGACACGGTGCGTGCGCACGCGCGCCTGAACGAGCGGTCGCGCACCACATAGATGAACGGATTGTAGAAGCTATTGCAGGCGGCGATCGTGTACGGCAGAAAGACGTCGGTGCTCCGGTAGGTGTCGGGCCAGGCGCTCTCGACGTCGCGTATGACGATCATCGGTGCCCAGCTCGCGACGAACGCGACGATGACGATGACGATGGTGACGCTCATCTTGACTTCGCGGCGGATGCTGCGCGCGCGCGACGCGACGCCGGCGTCGGCGGCAACCAGCTCCTGCGCGGCGATCTCGCGCAGGTGGCGCCGCGCGATGGCGAAGATGCGCGCGTACATCGTCGTCATGACGACGGCCGGCGCGTAGAACAATAGAACGTCAAAGGTGAGGAGATAGCTGGGGCTATGCACCTTTAACAGCAGGCAGCGCGTGTTGCCGCGCGCGCGCCACCCGGCGGCCGGCAGCAGCGCGACGACGACCAACGTCGCCCAGAGCGCCGCCAGCGCCCCCCACACGCGCGTCGGCGTCAGTATATCCCCGCTGCGAAGCGCATACGCGATCGTAACGTACTGATCCACTGCGATCAACACCAGACTCAGATTGGAGAGACGCAGAGCGAACTCGATGAGCATGAAGAGACTCAGGCAGCCCGCGTACGACAGCTCGGCGTAGAACACTGTCACCATGTTGTAGATCATTACGACGCCGAACAGCAGGTCCGAGATCGTCAAGTTCGCAATGAAGAGGAACTTGTTGCCGACGAACAGGCGTCGCCGCTCGCGCACGAGCGTCGCCATGACGACGCCGTTCGCGACGAACAGCAGCAGGATGCTGGCCGTGTTGAAGAGAATGACGCCGACGGGAGCCGTGTAGGGGTCGTTGCCGGTCGCAGCCGGACCGTCGGCGGCGGCGGTGGCGGCGGCGGCGGTGGAGGCGGCAGCGGCGGCGTTCACCGACCAGGTGGCGTTATCCCGCCAGGTGGCGTTATCATGCCAGGTGGCGCTATCCCGCCAGGTGGCGTTATCCTGCCAAGTGGCGTTTGCGAAAGCGTGGGACGACGGTGTCGCATAGGGACCGCCTGCTGTGGCGTTCTCCCGCCAGGTGGCATTTCGCCATGCGTCGGGCGTGGTGATTCCACGTAGGATGGAAGCCATGTAGGTGGCGCTGGTGTCGGTGGCGTTAACCCGCCAGGCCGCGTTCAGCGAGGTTGTTGCCGTTAGCAAGCGGACTGCAGCTTTTGTCGCACTGTCTGCCAACGTCACCGACGAAATGACGGGTTGCGCAGGCCGATGTCAACGTATATGTCTAACGTATATGTCAACGAATATGACAACGTATATGTCCACGAATATGTCAACGTATATGACAACGTATATGACAACGTATATGTCAACGTATATGTCAATCAATATGTCAACGTATATGTCAACGTATATGTCAACGAATATGTCAACGTATAGAGTTCATTGCTAACTTTGTGTAGCAATTTCTTAACCAAAACATTTTTTATATACATATATAATGAATGGCAACACCAAAACAGCAAGCTAAATCCACGTGAGGTAACTCAGTTGAGCTGTACTCAGTAGAAGCTGTCCAGGTCTCTTCTTCACACATGTCAACGTATAAGGCAATGTATATGTCCACGTTGATGCAGAGTTGACGCGTGTGCGCGCTCCAAGCACGTTGTTGATGCGACACCAGGAGAAATCCTCAAGATGGCTCCGACCCTGTCACGAGTGGTCAGCTTGTGACGTAACCAGACAGTCACTTGGTCAGCATGTGACGTAACCACACTGTCTGGTAGTCAGGCTATGACGTGACCGGACAGTCACGTGGTCAGCATGTGACGTAACCAGACGGTAAGGTGATCAGGCTATGACTTGACCGGACAGTCACGTCGTCATCATGTGACTGTAGTTTGCTAGTTCTTTCTCTCGCTCTCTCTTTCTCGCTCTCGCTCTCTCTCTATCTCTCTCGCTCTCTCTCTGTCTCTCTCACACCACCGCGCCCTTGTAACCCTCCTGGTGTGCTCTGTGCTTTGTCACGAGCACAACACGCAAACACGTCTTAAACTGCACCCACTCGTAGTTTGCCGTCGCTACTCGCGCCCAGCCGCCGCCGCTTGGCTGCTGCTGCTGCTGCTGCGGCACATTCACCATATATAGATATATATATATATCTAATCCATGATCGTGGAAAGTTTTTCTTATGATTGATAGCATAGATAGATACGATGGATAAGATAGGATAGATAGAAGATAGATAATAGATAGATAGATATAATAGGATATCATACACTACACTCTACATACATAAATAGATAGATAGATAGATTAGATAATAGTAAAGATAGATAGATAGATAAATAGATGGATTAGCATAGCATAAGATATATAGATGATAGATAGCATACATAGATAGATATATACATAGATAGATAGATAGTAGCATAGATACATACCATACATACACATAAATAGATAGATAGATAGATAGATAGAAGATTAGATAGCATATATAGATAGAAGATAGATAGAAGACAGATAGATATATAGATAGATAGATAGATACATACATTACATACATAAATAGAAGTAATAGACATGGATAGACAAGATAGAAGATAGATAGCAAAGATAGATATATAATTAGATAGACTAGATAGATGATAGATATGATGCAGATAGATAGATAGAATAATAGTAACTAGTAATGAGATAGATAGCCTAGGTAATAATAGATTAGGTAGAGATATCATAGATAATATATAATATATAGATAATATTTGGGAGTATTTTTCTTTCAACAAGTGGTCACCAACTGAGCCTTCATTTCTCCGCGCGCAACGACCGGTGTCTGCTTAGAGACTAGTCATATATATAGCTCTATACATAACATTATATCTATCATCACGTATACGTATACCGACCCCTCAGTATACGTATTAATATACTATATTCGGTGCTGTCAGTGCGTGTGGCTAGCAACACGCAGGTGTGTCGGATAGGAGACTGAGTGACAGGTACAGATTTGAGAGGAGAAAGAGAGGAGAAAGAAAGAGGCAGATGAGAGAGAGACGATGAGCAGCGGATGAGAGAACNGAGAGACACAGAGAGAAAGAGAGAGACAGAGAGAAAGCGCAAGAGAGAGACTCACTGAGACTGACATTAAGCTCCAGAGTAATTACGATCATTGTACGAGGTTGTTCCCCTATATCCTGCGTTTATTATAGTAGTCAACAATTCAAACCGGATACTGAGGTAGCGGGCGTATGAGCTCTGTATTATAATCCAGGAGGATATCTGCTGAAGCTGGTTATAGTGAAGAGGATGCACAGACGGCCACACGTCCGTCACATGCACGCACACGCACACACACACACGCACACACACACACTCACACACGCACACACACACACGCACACACACACACTCACACACACACACACGACACACACACGTACACTACACACACNATGGTGATGGTGATGGTGATGGTGATGGTGATGGTGATGGTGATGGTGGTGGTGATGGTGATGGTGATGACGATGGTGTTGGTAATGATGATGACGATGGTGATGGCGATGGCTATGGCGATGATGATGGCGATGGTGATGGTGATGGCGATGGCGATGATGATGGCGATGGTGATGGCGATGGCGATGGCGATGGCGATGGTGATGGCGATGGTGATGGTGATGGTGATGGCGATGATGATGGTGATGACGATGGTGTTGGTAATGGCGATGGTGATGGTGATGGTGATGGTGATGGTGATGGTGATGGCGATGGTGATGGTGATGGTGATGACAGTGGATTGATTCATGCAGCCTCCAGTATTCCCCCAGCCGTGACTTTTCACGACAAAGCATTGCTGCCTACACCTGCATGCCCGCTACCGGATGACTTACTCTCATTCTGTAAGTGTTTATCTACAGCTACGCTATCGTCGTGATTCGGGGGGCGAGGCCTGCATTGAGCGATCGTTCGTTGGAGTTTCACACTGCCTTCACGCCGGCTCCTCGATTGTTACCTCCGCCAAGAAAATTATGTTTTCGCCCCTGTTCGTCTGTTTGTTGGTTTGTTTGTCTGTCAACAGGATATCTCAAAAGGTTACGGACGGATTTTGATGAAATTTTTTGGACAGGCTGGTCTTGGGCCAAGAACCAATCGATTAGATTTTGGTGGTGATCCAGTTCCAGATCTGGATCCTGGAATTTTTTGAAGGATTTCTCATCATTGATGGTAGTGTAGTGGTTTAACTCTCTAACCGCTTCGCTTCGTTTCGCTTCGTTTCGCTTCGCTTCGTTTCGCTTCGTTTCGCTTCGCTTCGTTCTCTCTCTGTAGGGGTTTATAATTGTGTCACCGCCGCGTTAAACCCGACTACAAATTCGATATATAGATATATAGGGGGGGGGACTGTTAAGCTATGGCGGAGGTTTACTATCTTCGATTGCTCTTGTTGCTGTAGGCTTTAGACGCTGGTATGCCGGCTGGTGGATGACGCGCGCGTGAGTGCGGTCTACGTAATTTGTTCATCATCCATACTGAGAGAAATCAGCGTCGCCGCCGATACCCGCGTCACGACGCATACAGGGACGTATAGCGTCACGACGCATGCATATAGCGTCACGACGCTTACAGGGGGCGGATAACGTCACGACGCAAACAGGGACGTATAGCGTCACGACGCATGCATATAGCGTCACGACGCATACAGGGGGCGGATAACGTCAC